TTACATAATCTCTAGTTCTCTGACAGGATACAGCACAGATCCCTTATTACTCCGGAATAAACATCAGTTGGAAAGTCAATGAAGCATTGAATAAGCACAATTAGCTGATCCAAAATTTTGGCATTTGGAAAAATAAAGACACTCACACAAAGCCCAAGCATGTACAAGGATCCAACTGCCTTTTGACAGCTACATTTCAAGTAAAACACAATGCTTTGATCTTTTCCTCTATTTTAGACATCTCACTTTCTATTAAGAATCATGGGGTCCCTTTGTAGCAGTCATTGTGCCTAGAAACTATTTTTGAGGATTAAGCTTTTTGTTTTGTTGTGTTTTTACTCTGAAGTCAAGAGCTGTGGTCAATTGCTCCCCTGCTGCTGCTAAGATTAATCCAAGGAGATACAGAAAAATGTCACGGCTTTACAATGAATGCCTGTGCGGCATCCCTGTGAAATAAAAAATTCCAATCAATTTGGAATTGATTACAGTACAGAAGAAATTTGGAGTTTAGATAAAGCTTCCATCTGCTCCGTATCAAAGACCATCTGTAGTTACTATGTAGATGATAAGGCAGTCGGACACAGACAGCTAGGTTTATACACACAAAGTGAACAACTATGGAATGGTTTAACATGATGAGGTTGAACCTAGTTAACATCAGGCAACTTCCCGTGTTTATGACAGGAATTATATTGCAGTAATCCTCAACGTACAATCATTTGTTTAAGGACCATTTGAAGTTACAATGGCACTGAAAAAAGTGACAAGATAGTTTCTCATTGCAGCATCCCCATCGTCCCATGATCAAAATTCAGAAGCTTGGTAATGGACATGAATTTATGCCAGTTGCAGTGTCCCATATGATCACCCTTTGTGGCCTTTGATAAGCAAAGTCAATGGGGAAGCCAGATTCACTTAACCCGTTATCAACAACTGTAGTGACTCATTTAACAATTGTGGCAAGAAAGGTCATAAAATAGGGCAAAGCTCACTTAACTGGCTTGCTTAGCAATGGAAATTTGGGACTCAATTAAGTCGAGGCCTACCTGTTAATAGAATGCCTGAATAATTATTATATACTGTCATGCCTGAATAATATATACTGCCATGCCTGAATAATTTAATGTACTTTTAGGCATTTTTTTGCCAAATTATGTTCTACTGAACATCTACTCAGACATAACGTCTACGTAATACAAAGTTAAAACTACTGCAACTCTTTGAGCAAATTTGAATGTTATTATTAATGGGCAGGTGTTTAAGGTAAGAAAAAAATGACAGATGACAGATGCTGAAGTTTAGTTACTCTTTCAGTCAGACTTTGTTACCCCTCATTTGGCAGGAACAACGGCTTCTGAACATTTGTTGACTAACATTTGACTATCAGTGAAGAAATTGGAAGCCAAAAAGAGGCTAGATATTTTAGCAAGACAGAAGATAAATCTCCAAAACAACCATGGAGTCCTTGCAGGGGAAAAAAAGAGTTTTGGAGTAGCCTTCATACTCACCAGAGTTGAATATTACTGATCATCTGTGATTTTAAATATACAGGGCATGCATGAAGATCTCAGAATTTTTGAGCTGGAAAACTTCTAGGATAAAATATTCCACTGGCGGCAGTGAAATTGGAATAGAAACTATGGGGTGCCTTTAGAAGGTATTATTCATATTCAGCAGCCGAAATCGCGTTGCTGAATACTTGCCATTGTGCTGCTGAAATTTAACATCATAATTTCAGGAGCCCTGAACACTTTCTTCCTTATCATATACCCATTAACCAATACCCAGATAAGAGGAACTACCATTAGATTAGCAAGAATACGGTAATCAAGACCACATAGTACTTACACAAGCCAAGACTAGCAGGAAACCTGTTACACAGTCATTAAACTATACTTTGCATTACAATAACATGTCTGTGAAATGAAAACCAATCTCAGAGAGACAAGAGACTTGGCAAACTGAAGATGTCCCGGAAGAAGCAGGGATGACATTATGGCTAAAACTGCCAGCCAGATTTATTATTTATTAAAGCAATTTATATGAATGCCCAACCCACATTTGGGTGACTTACATTAAAAACCCACAACATAAAAACAACCATATAACACCACCTCCATGGCAACACAAATCAAATCCACTACTTGATCGGCTCTATTGCCACGCCCGCTGACAAAACCAGGCCTTTGTGGCTTTTTGAAAAAGTAGCGGGGAGGGGGGAATTGTATTTGGGAGGGAATATATTCCACAGAGAAGGAGTCATCACCAAGAATGTCCCCTTTTGCAGGCAGAATCTCTCTGGCACACGATGTTTTTTGCTTTCAAAGAGGCTGGGTGAAAATGGACTCTTTTACTCAGCTTCTTTGAGAGCTGCCTGCCTCCTTTTTGGAAGTCAATTCTTTAGCTCCATTACAACATGCACAAACCCTTAACATTCCTGCCGGGGAAAGCCGCGATGCGGTCATAGTTAGGTCAAGTTGCATGTTTACTTCTTTTATCACTATCACTCTCACATTTTGGCCTCAATCACGGTCATAAGTTGAGAACTACCTATACATGATGCTGAAGATTTTTCTCAGTTACAAAAATATAACCCCTCCCTCTATTAGAAGAATTATAAAACCAATGTTTAATCAAGACATTGCAAAAAAACCCATTCTTATTGTTCTTGGAGAAATAGTGGTGAAAGGAGAAAAAAAGTGACGCAAATGCATGATGACAATATAGATAAGCTGTTCAAAGACAGGTAAAAAGAAGATCCTAGCATAACAGCTCTACAACAAACAAATGAATTTCTGTTGGAGATCAGCTGTCCTGTCTTGACATCTTGCAGCAGCGAACATTCAGATTGTTATACTAATATTAAAAAACATAGATATTAAAACCATTTATTTAAACATACATATTAAATAGCACCATTGCACAAATGAGTAGACTTGATCTCTTGCATTGATATAACTGCAGTACTTTATTAAATATAATTTCTAGCACAGCGATATGGGTAACCTGCATGTTATCTTCGCCTCTCTTTCCTTCATTGGTTTTTGTTATCAAAATTAAATGCCAAACTCCTTTGTGCAAACTTCACTTTTGTTATACTGCCAAACGCTAGAGATATTCCCACCAGAATATTTACATCAGCAAAAGTAATTTCTTAATTTTCAGTGTAGCTAAATTAGTACACCAAGGTCATGTTAGCTAATGGAGGCTTTGCTGATTGTGAATAGTTCAGAAATACATCACATTCTTCCAATTCTGGTTGTACAGGCGAAACAAACATACCCCATACCCTGGCACTAGGTATCAAATTTACTAACAGTGATGCTGCGTATAATATATATATAAAATTGACAACTGCACACCTACTATCACTCCCCAAAGAGGTCCTGTCGTTCATGCCACCTCTAATGATGAGTTCTTTGGTAATATAATAATTTACTCTAAAAATAATTTGAAAAAAAAAATCAAGCTTTGAGGAAAAGACTCAGTAGTTAAGTGTGAATTTCTGTGCAGGAAACTTTGAAGATGTTGTCTAAGATTCGATCTTCTTAAAAGGACATCATTCTTTGTATGAACTCTGAAGATGTATGTACATCTCCCCGCTGATTTTAGCTTCAAGGATATCATTATGGGATAAAATTATAGAGATAAACAGATGTAAACTATTTATTGAATATTTGCCACCAATATTGTTAAATACATAATTCTGTTGCAGTTTTTCGCTTTCAAGTTAAAATGTCAGAAACAGAACACCAAATATTTACAGTTCTTATAAGGAATGTTACATAATGACACATTAAGGCGTAAATTGTTTTGGCTTATAATTCTGAAAAGAATGATAATAGCAAAAAAGTGATGCAAAATCTTCATTGTGTGATTATGATTAAGCTATGTTTTTACAAAAATATGGTGTAAGATGGCAATAAATCCCATTCAAAATCCTGTATTAAGTCCCTTCAATTGGGATTGATAATTTACACAGTCAAAACTTTAAAGTTTACATATAAAGGTATCCTATCCGTCATTGAAAAGTACAGCTCTCAACATATACAGTTTTTTTTTTCAGGCCACAGTTTTGAAGGTCTGGAGTATCAAATTAGTTTGATGAATTAGTCGGTTGGCACTTATGAACACATTTATTGCCCTATTGGAAAGAAAAAGAGAAAGAAGATATATTTTAGCAACAAGATAAGCTTATACAAAATAGAAAGCCATCATATTGAATATAGTTAATTTTTACAATGAAATCCTATACACTGTTATTGGTGTGCAGTATTTAAATTTGCAACAGTAATTCACAAAGGAAGTTCAACAATATGAAATTCTGGTTGAAGGATTTTTTAATACTCTAACTCTGAAAATAATTAGAGGTCTTTTTTAAAATGAGATAAAATACTGAATTCTTTATTAAACCCTAACAGCTAAATCACAATACAAAATTAAATGTTGTAGTTAAAGAACCAAATTACTGCATTGCAATCCTATACTTACTTACCCGGGTCAATGAATTCAATGGGCATTGTTTCTGAATACAAGTCTATCCTGTGGGATCCTTGGTGCTCTCTGAACTTGTTGCTTTCTTGCAGACATTTCATTACCCAGCTAGATAACATCATCCTTCTGAGCTCAGATTGCTCAAGGACCCCACAATTTAATCTTAAAACTAAAAAATTCTTTTCTATTGATAAATACCATTTACTTGTAAATTAATTGAGTTTCTGCTAAAGAGATTCTAGTTATGCAAAATAGCATATGGATTTAGATGTGAATTCCCCCTCGTTAATAAAAGCTAGTTATTCCAGAACCTTGCAATCTGGTAAAAACATCCATCCACATTCACTGCTTTACAAAGGTTCAGTGAGGAACGTAGACAAATCAGAAAAGGAATCCACACATAAGTTTATCAGAAAATATTATTTCCAGATCATGAAAATAATAATAATAAAAAACCCAGAATCTTGTACCATAAGTTGGTGAAATTTGTGCAATACTGGCTGAAAATGCTCATGTTTTCTGGGCTGATGAGGAACATACACTTGAAAGAAATTTATCAGCTATAGTGAAGATGATTACTCCACCACTTTTTAATCGTTTGCCTCATCTGTTACATTAAGGATTATAATGTTAGGACAGAGTTTGATAATTGTAACAAATCAGTAACAATTGTAGCAAGGTTTTGTAGGGGCTGGATAGGAGACATTTGAGGCATCAGCTTGATGTTTATATTACCTTTTCAGTCAAAAGAAGCATTATAGACAATTATAACATTTATACAAATCCAAATAAGTTAGATCCCAAAAGGTTTTTCATAACACATTTTGAATAAGATTACCTTCACTGGAAAAACTAATGGCAGAAATTAAAAGTTGATAAATAACATAGAAATAAAGTCTGATGGCCTAAAGGCAGAACTCTGAACAGCTATATTGATATTAGAATGAAATTAACACAAGGAAAAAGCCAGATTAGGGTATTGATTTTAAAATCTATCTGGAAAGAGATGTACATCATAAAAAAAGGAAAAGTACAATTGACTCAGAACTATACAGTGGGCACTGCTATAAACTACATACAGGAAATCAAAAACTCAGAATTAACTGAGATTAAGGTAAAAGGTACAAAGCTACTAAAAATAACACAAAAAATGGCTTCTTTAAATATGTTCAAAATAAAAGAAAAAAAAAATCAATAGAGCAGCTGCCCAGCGAAGGTAAAATGCTGTTAAGTAACAAAGAAAAGTTGTGTTTAGTTGTTTCCAAATAAATATCTAGGAAGAAATTAATTACATCCTATTTTATTTAGGGACCTACATGACTGTCTTTCTGAATTCAAGTATGATGTTTCAAAAATCCTACAGAAAAATAAAGCACCTTTTGATCCCTAATTACTCACTACTACTTTCAAAAAAGGTGAAAAGGAAAATCCAGCAAGGAATAGAACAATTATTCTGATGTCAATACCTGTAGAAATCCTGAAACAAATCATAGGTATTCTTGAAAAAAAACCCAATAATTGTTAGAAATTATTTCTCAACAATGAAACATTTTTTTGGTTAATTAGGTAAATTTCTTAACAGTTTGTTATAAACATAACATGACCAAAACATTTAATAAGAGCACCCCACAACATGTTACCTAAGTGTGGGTTAGACAGTATAATAATTAAGTAGATTAAGAAAATGATAATAAGAAATGCTCATCCTTGTTTTTGCAACAAATTGGACTGTGATATCAAGTGGTGTGTCATAAAGATCAAATGTGGCCCTTAATATTTTCATTAAGGATTTCAGTGAAGAAGTAGAAATGCCTATCTAATTTATATATGATACAAAACTGGGACAGCTAAAATACAGAACTAAAATTCAAAACAATATTGATAGGTGTAGAAATGCGTAGAATGCAATAGAATGGGATTTAACAGAGATAAATGCGAAGTTCTTAACTCAGAAAATATACACTGAATGGACAAATATAGGAGGGGAGATACTAGCTTGGTAACAGCACTTGTGAGAAAAGATTTTGGTGCTGTAGTTGTAACTGCATCTGAATCAGCAATGCATGCTGTTATGAAGACAGCAAATGCAATTTTAGACAGCATCCATTTCCAAGTATTGGAGAATAATAGTCTACTCCATTCATCTGTGATCAGATTCCTCTTTTAAGACTGGGCTAATAGTATAGCGGTAGTCATTGACTTATGACTGCAATTGGACTGGGTTTCTGCTCATAAGTCAAGACTTAAGTCATAAGTCAAGATACCCAACATTTTTTGCAATGGTTGTGAAGCAAATCACAGAGGTCCTTAAGTAAATCTGTGGTGGATAAGCAAATGCTGTAGCTGTTAAGGGCAAACCCATTATCCCAAATGAGTGGTCTTTGGCAAAAATAAAGTTCATAAATTGAGGATTATCTGTACTTGTAAACAGTTGAAACAATTGCAGAGACAACAACAACAACGATCAAAGGATTAGATCTTAACTCCATTGAAGAGAATTTGAAGAAGAATATTTTTAACATTTTAGCATTCATGAAAGATGAGTGTTAGTCTGTTAGTTTTTATTTAAGTCAGAAGAAGTTAAATTATATATTAAGACTAAGAATACTTTGACAGTGGACTCAGCTAACTAAAGAGAGATGACTATGCCAAGTAGAGCAGGGGTGTCAAATACAAGGCCCGGGGGGGGGGTGGATCTGGCCCATGGGGTGCTTCGAGCTGGCCCATGGGGCTGCCTAGAAACTGCGAAGGACTGGCCAAGGTGCCTTGGCCAGTGAAAACGAAGCTCTGTTTCCACTGGCAGAGGGTTGCAGTAGGCCCTTGCAGCTGAAAATGGAGTTCAAGAGCCAGTTTTCTCTGACAGAGCGCTCAGGCCACCACAGGTGCCCCCAACACGAGTCACATCAAGCTGACTATGCTCACCATGGGCATGCCCACTCTGGCCCCGAGGTCAAACACAACCTGGATGCCGCCCTCAATGAAATCGAGTTTGATACCCCTGAAGTAGAGGTTAGATAGCCACTCATCTGGGATGTTTAATTTTGATTTCTGAACTGAAATTCATAACTAAATGAACTAAATACTCTCTCCCAACTCTATGATTCTATTTAAAACAAAAAAAAAAAAAAACAAACAGAAAACAAAACACCCCTCCCAAAAAACTACTTCACTTTCTTTGTTTATATTTATCGATGAGTGAACAAAGTTAATTTCTTCGATACATATTAACAATTTAGAATAATGTCTTACTATAAATGCTAATATATGGAATAGTGGGGAAAAACCTGGAGACTTTTGGAGTATTAGCATTGTTCGGCTAGCTACAATCACAAGCAAGGTCAAAGAACAGATGGGATTTTTCCTCCTCACTACACAGTATTAAAATTGTTCTTTAGTGGCTTCTAATATGGATTTTATTCTGTTGCTTTCAAAGCACTATTCATAGATTTTGTTATATATATACTTCCCCTTTCCATATTCACACAGAACTTGGGACCATACTGCTTGGAAGCAATTTACTACTGCCCTGTTCCCCTCCCCCACAATTCTAATTTGCCAACAGTCCTGGAATTCCAGGTGGTGTCATATTTATGTACAAACCAGACAAATATCCTGCTACTACATATACCATGTCAAGGGAGCCCAATATCCTGTAACCAATTATGGACAATCAGATGATTCTATGAAATCTGGAAAAAGAGACAAAATATAACAATCTTCCCCTCCAGATTTTTCCTCCAACAATTGTTATTCAGAAGCACGCAGTGACTCTGTATCTAAGCAACAGCTGTCGGATGCGAGTGGTGGTTCTCCCGTTTATCAGCCTTTGAAAATAAATTATTTTTCTGTTGTGGAAATCCCACTTAGCTTGTAGTCAGTAGGAGGCAGCAAGCATGTAGCCAACTTCCTCTATTCTCATAAAAATAACACAGGGTCAGAGTGCACTACTAGAGACCTCAGGGAACATAAGTCTAGGACTAGAAGTTAGACTGAGCCATTAAAAAAAAATCGCTAGGAAAAAACAATAGCAAACTCTACATTATTCTCAAGAAAATCACAGACTTGTCTAAAAATATGAAGTGCTTTCAATTGGAAGGTAAAAAGGGGGGGAGGGGTAATGTCACACCTCTTGGTGACTCTTTAAAGCCCAGGAAAAGTAACAACTCCTTTAAGGATGTGCCAAGAGATGCATGCACATTCATAAAGACTTTTTCTCCAGGTTTTGGATACAAAGAGTTGTATATTCCTTCACAAGAAATTTATATCAACTAGAGAATCTCGACTTTATAACCACAGAAATTTGTCATTCATTTTGATATGTAAAAATCTTGTTTCTAGAAAGGAAACAATTCCCATTATTTTCCCCCCCTTTTATTAGATTGCTAAAAATCTTTTGTCACAGCAATCATAAATATGAAATAATTGATAGCTGAGTCAGAGGCTTGATGCTTTTGTGACATTTCCCATTTTGAAAATTCCATATATTTATTATGGAATTATGTCTGTCATATTATGTTATGACAGAATGAACAAGGTGTTATTCTATATATCGACATGGGGTCTTTTGTCTAATTTCATGAAATTTTAGTCTGCTTCCAAAGCCCTCTGTAAGAGGTTATTTCCAGCCTCTAGTATGTGATGTATGTTGTTTCCTTGCAGGAAAAGAGAATGAAAGGTATCAGAGAGAGATGACAAAAACAGGGTGTTGAAAAGAACAAGAAACATCTTTAGACAATAGATATCCATGCCCACTTTAGTGCAAATCTCTTCTGACCACCCACTCCGCCCCATCTGTTAGGGGTCCCCATGGGAATATGTTCCCTGTTAAGTGTTTTTTAGCAATGATGAAAGGAAGACATAATTACTATTAGAACAGTGATGCTGTAAGTTTCCCAAGGAGAATTAAAAATTAAGTAGACTCATTGATGACTAAGTTTAAAAAGCAAATGTTCCAATCTGGCCAATTTTTTTCATTCTTTGCTAAATTGGAACTGATGGGAGCAATTAAGATGTTAAGATTATTGCAAAGTATGTTCCTTGGACTACAAATTATTAAGACAAAAAGAAAAAATAGTCATTAAGTCAATTAAAAAAGAAATATATACTTACTTTCCATCTTTAAAATAAGTTTTCAAAGTGTCACTGAAACTTTTGGAGTATTTTACAAATTCTTTCTTTTGGTGTTCAAGTGCCTGAAAAAGTTTATGTAAATAGTAATTAAAATTTTCATTTTTCTCAATCATTGTTTTAGCCAATGAACACAAAATAAGACGAGAAAGGTATACAGTAAATGTTGGAAGTGACAAAATTCACCATTTCAATGATGAAAATGTTCTTCTACAAGCGACATTTGCTTAATGTTTGGAAAATATTAATTCTACAAACAATAAAAATTATATTAAACCTTAAAGCAGTCATTATTGATTAAAAATCCACATAGACTGAAAAATCTCTATTCATCATCCTGATTGTCTTTTTATTTGCCAGTTTGTATTAGTTGAAAAATTATGTTTACATTTCATATTATCTGAACATGAAGCTGTGTATATTTGTAATGCTTGTGCTTAATTATATTTCTGATGAGGCACTATAGTAGAAATTAATTTACATACCCTCCGGTTCTGATATTGGTATTTCTTGAAGACATTATTTACTGTATCGAGAAGTTCCTTTATTGCACTGGCAATGTCCCTGTTTGGTAATGAAAATATAATTGCAATTTTTAAAGTGAAGCTGCAGAATTTTAATCACTTTCAAAATTATGTTTGAAATTTATTTCTAAAAGATTTCCTGTCATATATAGTGAGTTTTAGATATGCACAGCAAGATGAAACAACAAGAGCTAATTAAATTATATGGCACTTCAAAATCTAAATTACATTTAATGCATTCTTTATACGTGGAAAACTAGCATCTGGAAATTACAGAACAATACTCTGAAGCAGCAGGAGCCTTGGCTTACCTTTACAATCAAAAGTCTTTCCCTGGAACAATTTTCAATATGTATAGTTATAAATTGTATAGATTGACTTTTGATATTTTACACAGAATAAAGAAAGATTGCTCTGATCTATTTTGAACTATCTTGAAAGTACTGTTCTTATGAATTGAGGCTAAAATCTTGTCCCATCCATCTTTATTTAAATAAAAGTAAATGTTATTTAATTAAAGCTATACTAACTGGAAAAAAAACCTGTCCATAGTATATATTCCTGAAATAATTAAATGGAAACTATCTTTGGTCCTAAGGTTAATGGATACAATCTTATCAAGATTTTAAGCTTACAATATAATGAAACCAAACCACTCTGTGTGGGAGTAAGAGAGAAAAATCATTTAAGAGAAAAAATGCATTTTAATCTACAGAGAGGATAAAACTCAATTTATAATATTAACTTAAAAAAATATTTTGGAATGCAAGACCCACTGCTAAGTTGAAATCAGAGTTTGGAAAAAAATCACCACCATGATTTCTTGTATTTTGGGTCTCAGGGGTGTGTCAATTGTCAGCTGTCATCTGCCTAACCCTTTATTTGCTGATCATCCTCCAAAAGGGACTGGTGATCCTTTTGGGACATGTCTGTATTAATATCAGTATCTCTGTTTTATGTGTGAGGAAATTAAAACTAATATTTCCCCATGGATTTTTCAAACTGATCCAGGAAAGGAAAGCTCTGAGTTCCCAGCAATATATACATAAGCACTTTGCTCCAATCAGTAAACATTTGCATTTTGTTCCACAATTGGTAAGACAAATCTCTCAATGTATTATTATATGACAGAGAAGACTTTATGGAAGATATTTGTATCAAAATAACCTTATGAACAATTCAAATTTATATAGATTTGACTCTAATCTCAATAACTAGGCAAGGAGGTTAGGTAAACCCATATATTCAATTATTTGAATGTATAAACTGTCTTTGGCCGATGCTTTAGGTTTTCAGTTGAAACAATTGCAGGTTTAATTTTTTTGCTGGTTCCTCTGAGTTGCATTGGTGAGTGGACAACCATATAACCAATCAAATAGACAATTAATTTTATAATTCTCTGTTAACTTGCATTGAACAGGATTGTTTTCATTACTGGACTGAAAAAAGGACCTTTTAATTCCTATAGCAATGCATGTGGAATATGAAAATCTCACTAATGAGGTACCTGAGCTACTAATAACTGAAATCACTATAAAATTCTGTGTTTTACATTATAATTTTCCACACAGAGTTATAAAGAAGCAATGAACTCACACAGACATCTATCTCCATTTTATTGAGTTGGATCCTAAAAAAATGAACTCCAAGAAAAGAAAATAGCCTTCCTGTTACAACTTTGGATAAACCCAGATGAGAGGATCCTTTTTCTAGCATGTCTCTAATCTTCTGGCCATTATCATGGCTTGCTAAAATGTTATAGATAAGGAAAAAATGTATTCCTATTCTACGATAAAGTACATGCGTAATTTTATTTTCTAGTAGTCTTGCTGTCCACCAATCTTGAACAAAGGAATCAGAAATTTTCTATTAATTGACTCTACAAATGCAATTACGTTAAAATTAATCAGTCGGTTTTACATAATTATACACTATGAGCCCCTGCATTGAATAGATATTTTAAGCATCAGCTTCATGGTTTTTGGTTTTGAAAACTCAATAAACTATGGACAGTGATACAATCCAAAATGTGAAAGGAGACCCACACAAATCTTTTTTTATGGCAATTCTGGATACATTATGTGTACTAAAAGATCTATCTATTCAAATTATCAAGGAGCAACTGGACATATGAAAAACCTCCATAAGCAGTCATTAGAACAAGCAAAGTAGATAAGAAAAATATTTTAAGATAGATTATCTCAATTTCTTACAAAAAGGAAGAAAACAGCTCCCAAATAAGCATAGGCAACTTAATATCCAGAGCATGTTAAATTTTTCTGAGCAATTCAGAAGATCCAAAAGCACTGCAATTTTAGGTAAGAGAAAACTGGAAAGTGCAACTTATAAAAGAGGGCCAATTCACCAGGATGACTTATAAGATTTCAGGTCTGATGCAGTATTATTGCCACAGGATTATGTTGTTAGAAATAAAATGATTTAACTACAAAGGGCACAGAATAGGGATCACTGACAGAATTGCTATAGCTATAATATCCACTGTTATTACTCCAGCAGCTAAAACCAACCCACAGCTTGGCCATTCAATAGCAAGCAAGATTCATTTTGAAGCAAAAATTCCATGAAACGAAAACAGCAATTTTATAAAATATCGGTAATGATCAGAATTATAGTGCAAGCCAAAAATGTATTTCTTCTATAAATATAGAGCCACAGCTGGTCGAAGAAGTCACATTTTACAATAGCTTTTTAGTTTGATTAGTATTTACTTGATTGTCTGAAGAAACCTCACTCTGTCATTGATCTCATCTGGAATCTTGCTGAGAATCTGTTTAAGTGCTCGTGCCTTTTCATTGAGGTCTTGGAATTCGGGCTCTGGCCTTTCAATCATGTACTCTGGGTGGAGGAGGCAGAAAATATAAATGAATTTCTCTTTCTAAGTTATAAATTAAACTTAAAAGGTTGGCAACATCCTCAACCATGTTAAAATTAAAACAAGCAACAAATAAGAACACTAAATTAATCCCAACTCTTACTTTGTAAGGAAAAGACTATTGATTTCTAATGATGTAATTCAATATTATGTCAGCCAAAACTGACTTACTTAGAATAACCTTCTTAAAGCACAACTTATGACAAGTACTCCACAAATATGAGTGTCATTTCAGAGTCACGAAAGCTAAAGCACGAGATTAAACTTTTTCTTTCTTTCTAAAGCTTCCTTGACATTCTGAAGGTTGGATCTTGTTTGAGTAAAGAAGACTGTAGTGGGAACTATAGGGAATTGGCTAAACATACATTTTGTTCCATTCCCATAAATTTCTTCCACCCATTTTTTTGTATTCAACCTCTTTAACTCTTACCCCAAGCTATTATCTACTTGATGGCCTTTTTAAAAATTTAGAATGTCATGTCTTTTGCCACCCCCCCTCTCAAGTACGGTGTTTCCCCAAAAATACGACCTATGCCTATTTTTCGGAGTATGAGATACACCTTAGTTTTGGGGAGGAAAATAATAATTAGAAAAATTCTGCCTACCAGGATCCATGGTATTCAGCTGCCTAGCTTCCTCACTTGGAACACGTTAACAAGGTCAGCCAATGAATAGGCATAGCAACTAAGTCAGCCAATGAGGACTATTTGGACTCTGAAACAGTATTTGCCATATGAGCAACAAGGAGACAGGAAGGAGCCTTGCTTAGTTGAACTGAAAGTGAAACTGTTTGTGTTTTGCTTATATTTACTGCTACCTTGGAAAACCTGCTTTTGATATTGTATTGTATATTATTATTATTTTGAATCCTGCTAACTTGTGTGTGCTTTCTGAATGTGATTGCTGCTGCCAACTCTGACCAGCCCAGTCAGCTTCAGCACTTATTGAAGTCTGATTCAGCACAGCTGATTGGAGGGTGGATCCGACTGTCAACATATCCTCAATCAGCTGTCCCAGGCTGCAGGGATTGTCACAGACCATCGCTGCATCTATGCCTCAAGTTTTTGGCCTCTGGTGTGTGTGTTTGGGGGGGAGAGAGAAGCCAAAGGGTGGGGGCCGGTGGGTGGCTGGGGTTACATTTGGTGTATAAGACAGAACCAAATTTTCACCCTCATTTTTGGGGGGAAAAGGTGCATCTTATACTCTGAAAAACATGGTACACAGAAAGTAAGTCCTAGCTTGATTTTTACACATGCACCCAATATAAGCCACACTCCCAAAATAAACCCTAATTAAGGTGCTGCCCACTCCTCGGTGCACAGGTAAAAATTAAGCAAGGATAGGGATGGGTGGTGGTGGAGCTGCCCTATTACTTACCTTCAGATAGTTGTAGTCAGGTTTCTCACACTTCGGCCTGTTTCTTTTGCTGCAGCAGGCAAGGCATTCCTGATGGCCTCTGTAGCCGTTAACAGAGCTCCAGATTGATCCGGAGCTCTGATAGTGGCTGAAGAGGCCTTTCCTAAAGGCCTCCGATAGCAAAAAAGAGGCCGGGGCAACATGCGCAAGTGAGGTGAGTCAGTGGATGACATCCCCTCCAAAAATAAGAACTGGTGCCTTTTTTGGTGGCAAAAAATATAAGACAGGGTCTTATTTTTGGGGAAACACAGTAAGACTAGCACAGAACCACCAAGCTACAAGAATTATCAAAAGAAATATGAGCAAGGATATATAATTTACAATATATAACAATAAATGTTATTTAAATTTATTTAAATGACTGAAGTGACAATCTGGAAATTCAGCTGTGATTATGAACAAAACAGAAATAACATTTTTTAAAAAATAAAATAAACCCATCTAAACCGAATGAGGAAACAGCCATTGATAGGAAATACCTTCTACATCATCCGCTGCCATGCGCAAAAGAGATTCAGTAAAATTAACTTCAATGCTTTTCTTCTCCAAAATTTTTATGATAATATCTTGTGTGAGACCTGGGTTTTCCCTTTCTGCCTGTATTTCAAAGAAGAGATTTCAGATTTCTTCTGACATATTGAAAAGTAAAGAACAGCTTCCGAGAAAGTTACAATATGAATTTTTAAGACATCTGAGTAGAAATATATCATAAACATTGATTTTACACTGTCATTTTTTTCCTCCAAAGTAAAGACCATTTAGTCTTGAACTAAATCAATATTTTCACCTGTAATTTGGCCCAGTTAGTTTTTTCTTTAATTTCTTTGCAGTATTTATTTCTGTGAATCATTCCTTTTTCTTCTATCTTTCACATTAACTGAAATAGATAGTCCTCAGGTTACAACTCTAATATGTAGGGCCAGATATGCAGTTGCTAGGCAAAGTGGTTAAGAAAAATGTTACATGATTGCACTGCTAAGCAATGGGAGTTCTGGCAACCATTGAGGGCATTAAATGATGACTGTGTGGCCATTAAGTGAGGTCCTCTTGCTTCTCCAGTCTCCTCCCTGATTCGGGCTAGCAAGTTTTCTTGGGCTCCACCCCCCTGCTTCGCTCACCATGCAGATCCTGAGGCTGCAACCTCACCCAGCCCCTGGGTCAGCAATGGGAGAAAAATGATGATGAAGGTCAGCTGGTGGTAGCAGCAACGGGAATAGGGTTGTGGAATGCAGGGCAGTCAAAGGGGCACAAATGGGGGATGGATAGGCACATAGGAAGAGCTGAAGCAGAGGCAGTTTGAACAGGGCAGGAGAAATGACTATGGGACTATGGATCAGTTGTAAATGTGAGTCGGTTGTCAACCACCCAAATTTTGATCCTATGACTGTGGGGAATGATACAATAGCTAGTATTCCAAGGGGTAGTCAGAAGTACTATCCATTCAGCAATATTGTAAATTTGAACAGTTGTGGGATGAATGCATATAATTCAAGGACTATCTGTAAAAACATTATATAACATTTTTCTTTGTTCCCTTATAACAAGGGTGTCAAAGTGGCGGCCTGCAGGCCGGATGCGTCATGCAAAGGCCATGCCCACCCCAGGTCCGCAAAGGGGAAAATGTCACGAAACATCATGTGACAGCAACGTGACACTATGAGTAAGACAGCTGTGCCTAATGACATGAGCTAAATGAAATTAAGAAAGGCAGTAATCTTCACTGTTTTCACTTATTTTTCAAGCTACATCAGAATTTTAAAAAACTACCCACAAGTTAGATAGATAAATTGGATAAATAATAAATAGGCAAGATATCAGACATTGCATTGTCCCAGAATGCTGCAAAACCTCATTTTTCCAGAATTCCCTATTCTTTTTTAAAGAAACATCTCAGAATGTTTTTAGAGTACTCATTTTTCAGGCTTAAAAAGATTGTGAAATAGAGGCAATCCCCAGGTTAAGAACAAGTTGCATTCT